TCCTCCTCCTCTTCTTCCTCCTCTTCTTCCTCCTCCTCTTCCTCCTCCTTCTCTTCCTCCTCCTTCTCCTTCCTCCTCCTCCTCTTCCCCTTCTTCCTCCTCCTCTTCCTCCTCCTTCTCCTCTTCCTCCTCCTTCTCCTCTTCCTCCTCCTTTTCTTCCTCCTCCTCCTCTTCCTCCTTTCTCCTCTTCCTCCCCCCCACCCCTCCCATAACTCAGCTGGTCACCAAATCCCATCTACTCCACACTGCAGTGACACCGTTCTCTGCTGTCACCAGCACTGCACTATCGCAGGTCGGATCCCACCCTGGTGATCATCGACTCTCCACTGCAGGCCGCAGCTCCAAATGGCTTCTTCTAGGCCCCCTTCCCCTACTGAATTACAGCTCAGGTCACACTCCAAAGTTTATGAATATGCTCTAGGCCTTCAAGAAAAGGATGGAATCTTTAAGATAACACCTAAGCACATGGCCAAAGCACTGGGAAGGCTGAAGACCGAGGCACGAAAGTTCCAGGCCAGCCTTGGCTACATAGTGAGCACTGCCTCAAAATCAACCCACAAGCAGAAATGGTGAAGTCTCAAGCTAATAAAAAACCAGACACAAGGAAAGTGCTCTTAGCTGGCATTTACCAGTGCTTGTTACAGACCGTGCAGCTTCAGTGAGTCCGTGAGGTAACTTTAATTCCGCCCTCAGAAGTAGGCATTCCCCGCCTTCCTCCATCTAAGATGAACTGAGTCCATAATCTTATAAAGCCAGACAGTTGGCCATCACACCAGTCCAGGCTCATGTGGTCGACATCAGCCATAATCAGTTCTTCAGAATCAGAGCTGACTCAAGCCCCATTAGTCCCCTTGCCCTGCACTGTGCTCACAGCTCCCCTTGGCCTGGACTGTGCTCACAGCTCCCCTTGGGCTTCTCCCACACTGCTGCTCCTGCCACCCGGGGTGCTCTGAATGAGAATGGGCCATAAAGCTCACAGTTATTTGAAAGGATTGGACCTGTGGCCTTGCTGGAGTAGGCGTGGCCACTCTTTAGGAACTGTAGGAAGTATGTCACTGAGAGTGAGCTTTGAGGTTTCAGAAGTCTAAGGGAGGCCCAGTGTCTCTCTTCCTGCTGCCTGCCAAAACTTAGAATTCTCAGCTACCTCCAGTGCCATGTCTGCCTGCGTGCTGCCATGATCCCTGCCATGACGATAATGGACTAACCTCTGAAACTGTAAGGCAGCCCCAATTAAATGTTTGCCCTTATAAGAGTTGCTATGGTGGAGATACCTGTTCACAGCAGTAGAAACCCTAAGACATCACCAGACTATGTGACCGCTCCTATGCCTTTTAGCCAAGCTTTCTCTCTCTCTACCAACAAACACAAGAGCACATCTTCCTCACCCGATAAACAGGACACGGGGGAGCAAGACAACACAAAGAACTATGGACTACACAGACACAGGACTTCGGGACCATAAACTGATCTCAATGTGCAGCCCGAAATCACAAGGGATACTACGGAGGAGTGTGGACAAGGCACCGAGTTCTTGGTGGCCAGCTGCTAAGCACTCGTCCCTAAGATACTGAACAGGAGCATAGCCCCATTAAGGCCAGTTCTTCCCTGTGGTGGGTCTCCATGGTGTTCTGCTCACACTAGGCCATAGCCCTCAACAGCTGTGAGCCAGGCCCTGGCTACATGTATATTTTTCTCAACAGTGACTGCTGCAAGGAATGAGAGTCTCATTTTTGCTTTGTTTTTTTTGTTGTTTGTTTGTTTTTAAATCATCTTTATGATCCTTGTGCCAAGCAAGTGTCTGGCATATGTGAATAAAAGTAACACAGTCACTAGGCATGGTGGCACACACCTTTGATTCCAGCCCTCAGGAGGCAGAGGCAGGTAGATCTTTATGAACTGGAGGCCAGCCTGGTCTACAGAGTGATCGTGAGCCTCCTGCCTCAGGTTCCCAAGTGCTGATGTTCCAGGCCTCTACCAACAGCATTATGAAACGTTTTAATATTCATCCATGTCCTGTTGAATGAATACTTAGTCTTCATTTCCCAGATGGCTGAGTTTTCTCGTATTAACAGGACATTAAAAATTCTCGTGTCCACTTCTTAATCACTGTGAATAGAACAGTGATAGACATGGATGCACAAGTATCTCTGTGGCAGGCCAGCTCAGACTGCTTCAGGTAGGTGCTCAGGAATGCACAGCTACTACGTCATATGGCAGTTTTATTTTTGTTTTCTGTTTTGGAGTGTGTTTGAGTGTTTCTCTACATAGCCCTGACTGTCCTGAAACTCTCTGCAGATCAAGCTGGCTTCAAACTCACAGTCTATCTGCTTCTGCCTTTCAGGTGCTGGGATTGAAGGAGTACACACCTGGCCCCCAACTTGGGTTTTTCTGAACCCCACACTGACATCTGGGTGGCTGTGCTGGTCTAAATTCTCACCAGCCATGTATGGGATTCCTCCTTCCCTACACACCATGTGTGCTAACTTTACATTTTTATTTAAAGAAATCTTTTCTCCCTTAAAAGCTAACATAAAATAACCAGCTTGTCTGCAGGCTCATCTGTGCTGATGGATGCTCTCCCGGCTTACTCTCCTGGCTTACCTGGCACGGATCAGAGACGCACATGCTTTCCGCCGAGCCTCCATCTGTGCTTCTTCCCTCCGTGTTGCCAGACAGTTCTGCATCTTCTTTGGAGCCTCCTCGGCCTGCTGAGTAGTACAACCACTTGCTTCCACAGAAAGCAGTGCGCTCTCAGGCAAGGTTGTGGGGAAAGACAAAAGAGAGCCTGTTCCCGAGTGCACAGAAGAGTGACTGACAGCCTTGTCACTTGAGGCAGAACTCTTGTGTCCCTGAGGTGACACACCCAATGCTGGCAGGTCTGGCCCTGGATTCAGGTATGCCTCTGCCAATTTACACCAGCTCCAAGGGTTGAGAGGGTGCAGAGAAATCAGCTTTTGCAGGCAGAGAATCGTCTTCTCCAAGCTCTGCAGGCTGGAAAAGATGGCCAGGTGGAGATAGAGCACCGTGGTCAGATGGTCTGTGTTGGTTGCTTTGCTTTCCTGAGGAGAAAGAAAGCAAAAAACCTCAACTACATGTTTCCATATAAAACTGGGAGCACCCAAAGGCCAAGGCTGTCTATATTATAAACCAGAAGCATTTGTAAGTGCTACATGGGTCAAGTGAATTTAATCCTTCTAGATTTCCTGTTTCCAACCATATCCTGTGAGTTGTCCTCCACATGAAAACTATGGCTGGCACACACGTTCACACATGTGCACAGGGGGTCTCCTCCTGATCAGAAAACCTTTCAACATCTCCCTGAGAGCCATTATCTCTTGCCTAACCTGTCATATGGCAAATACTCTGTGGGTGGGGGAAAGGGTTCACTTTTTTCCAAGTTAGTCTACAGAGAGCAGATAGCAGAGAACAACTATCTTCAACCTGATATGAAATTTAAGGAAAGCCCAGCCTGCCCAGGTCACATTCCTGCACAGAACTAAACCGAGTGTCAAAGGTCAAACTACCCAATATTCAGCCCAGTTACTGGTGGAAGTGGATACCTGCTGAGTTCCTGAAAATTTCCATTCCTACCTGAACACTGAGAACACCTGGCTATACTCTTTCTATAGCTTAAGGTTTAGCCTTCCAGAAAGACCACTATAGTCTATACCAGCCCTGGATTCGACTCTGAATACAGCCACGTCTCCGAAGACGTATTGAATACAATATGTCTCCGAAGGCGTGGCTGTGGCTCGGTGAAATCTCTAAAGTCTGGCCATGCCCTTTGGAGGTGGCTCCACGTGTAAGGGTGCTTGCTGCTGAGCCCGACGACCTGAGCACTCATGTGATGGCAGGACAGACTGACCCCACCACTGCCTGCCAACCTCCACCTCTCCCTACCACAGTGCTCTGCCCTCTGTATTCCACCCCTCTACATAAATAAACGACACGTAAAAACATTGTTTCAATCATAACTTTTATTTCTAATAAGATCATGCCTGGATTATCCCTAGAAGCTACTCTTCTGTTGCTGCTATCTATAATGCACTGTTATTCAAAAGCACATTGCCACTGGGAAAGCAGGTATGTCAGTGTGAAGCAGGTGCTACACACAGATGGTAATCCCTCCCTTCTCCTGCTTAAAAAAAAAAAAAAAACAAAAACAGGCATACGTATCCATTCTGTAGCCTTGACTGGCTGGCCTGGCCTTGAACCGGTGATGCTCCTACCAGACTTCCCTCTGCTAGAGTTACAGACACGCAGCAGAATGCTGGCCTCTAGACTAGGATGCTGATAATATGATTAATAACCTAAAATTGACTGGAATGGCAAGTTAATAAACAAGGGTTTGATAGCATAGTTAATATGCCCCTCTTTGGACATTAAAATCCATTTAAACGTGTTTCAGGGATTTTCCCAGTACTGCAATAATAAACAGTGGAGACTAGAGATGATTCAGTGATTAAGTGTGGGACTGTGAAAAGGATAGCTTGTTTTCTGGTAGAGCACTGGCTAGAAATGGCCAGAGACCCTCCATTGATCCGTGCCTTTCAGTCACGTAGGGCAATGGCCCTACAGCTCCTCCACAGGTAGAGGGCGTGACTACAGGCCTCAACCTTAAGAGATTTCCGTATTAATGAGATACCTAAAGGCCAGAGGGCGTAGCCAATTAAGTATTCCTTCTCAGTCCCTCCTCCCTCCCGATTTAACTCAGGTCTGTCCTGAGAGAGGTGGGGAGTACAGCCAGATTTATCCACTTTCCACCATGACAATAAACCTTTAAAACCATGGACTTCCTCGTGTCTTTGGACCCCCCCCACCCCCCGCTGTGGGGAACAGTGGAGACTTTGACTAATGAGCCACCGCTGCCTAATCTCCCACTAGAAGACTTCTCTACATTCCCACCACGGAGGCCACCAATTCAACCAAGCTGAGCCAACCAAGCTGAGCCAACCAAGCGAGTGCCAGTAACCAAGAGTCTCTACCTGTAGGGCACTGTCGGAGCTTCCCTCCCCCTCATTCTTCTCAGCTATGGCCGGTCCAGCCCATATGCCCTCGTGTCTCTGTTCTTCTGTGTTCCCAGTGACATCTGGGAGCCCGAGGACATAGACCACTGGCTTCCCAGGTCAGCCTGGAGACCACCACTCAAAAGCTCTGCCCCCACGGGACTTCAGACTGGGATCTCCCCACACCCCAGCAGAGCCCCAGTGCCGAGTGGAGTGAACTCAGTCAAATTCCCATGCTTCTGCCTCCCTGAGCCACAGGAGACACGTGGGATCCACAACTCTGCCCAGCACTGCCCAACAGGACCCACGCCCACCCATGCATGAGCTAACAGCCCCTCAATTAAGAGCACTTGTTGTTCTTGCAGAGGCCCCAGATTTGGTTCCCAGCACCCACACTGGGCAACTTACAACAGCTCCAGGGAGATCCAGTGTCTCTGGGCTCCTCCAGCACCTGCACTCACACGGGCATACCCACACTTAGACCCACTCACATATACACACATAATTACAAATTAGAATATATCTTTGAAAAATCTAGAACAAAATCACTCAATTCTATCGCTCAGGGTATATATTCCTCATAAAAGTAGAACTTCTGAAAACAATATTTCTTAGCCCAGGAAAAATATTCCAAGAAAAGAATCACATCTAGCTTTCATCTATGCTTTCATCTCAATAACTACACTGCTGATTGTTTCCTTCTGTAATCCCGGCCCACCAATCCTGTTTCTAGTAGGAACTTTGTTTCCTGTCTCCTACAGGACAGTGTAGGAACACAAGCAACAGAGCCACTCACCAGGTCTGCTGCCATCTCCAGCGCCTCCTCATGCCTCCCAAGGTGAGCCAGACACCGAGCCTGGCCTTCCTGGACATCCCTTTTCATGGCAAAATTAGTAGATGGCAACTGTTTGGAGATACTGGAGTATTCCTGCAGTGCTTTCTGCAATTATTAAAAGAAAGAAGGGAAGGCATAAAGGGGGTGGGGAGAGGAAAGGACCCAGTGTAGAAATGACTTTTTCCTATGTAGAAAGTGGTAGTAAAACTGACCCCTACAATAACCTATGAGAGAACTAAGTGTTTCAACCAGTACTATGATGTTTTCCTAAAAAGTAGACACAGAATGGCTGCAGGTCATAATGTCTACAACTATGGTAAGTATCACGGTATTAGAGAGAGAACACTCTAGAAGCAAACAGAACAGGCTTTGAATCCTGGTTTTACTGGGACTTTGAGGTGTGTGTGTGTGTGTGTAGGGGGAGGGGAGGAGGGGGTGTAAATTTGCCATGTAGATTAATTAGGCTGGTCTTGAATTCACAGAAATCCACCTGCCTCTGCCTCCACCTCCCCAGTGTTGGGATTAAAGGTATATGGCACCAGGCCCAGCTATAAACCTTATTAATATTTGCCTGAAGATGAAATGAGACATGTATATGAAACAATCTGGCATCTAATTGTTCATTCTTCCCTTTCCGTGTATATTTTGAGGTATTCTGTTCCTGTGACCTGCTGGAGATTCACAGGGGAGTGGATATAAAACCTGGGAAAGCAGGCCTACAGGGATCTTCAAAGTACTCTTTGGTTGGAATTAAGAAAAAACAAAATGTAATATGGACCCTGTAAAAAAGGCCTAGACTTAGGGGTCTAAGATTATCTATAGGCCCCATCAAAGACTAAATCCGTCCCACAAAGCACACTGCTAACCTGGCACACACTGCTGTCTACATGCGCTACTGTTGATAAAACAAGAGCCCAGCTGAAGTGCCAGAGTCTGACACGTATTGATTCCCACCTCATATTCCTGTCGTCTGTAGGCCAGGTCCCCTCTGAATTTCTTGAGAGTGAGAACTTCGGTATCGTCACTACATTCTGTCTCCTCAAAAAACCACTAGAAATCAAGAAGAAAGCGTTTATGGTGGAGACTGAAGGCATGCTTTTCCACTTCACGGTCAAAAGCACTTTCCCACAATGCAATCATCTAAACCTCAAGGACACACTTCTTCAGGATGACTCAAGGCAAAGTGGTGGACAAGGACAGCTATATTTTGTTTTATAACACAGTGTCTCATAGACGCCCTCCATGTGCTGAGATTACAGACCCGTACGATCACATCAGACTAACTGCTGCGTGTTTGCACGTGCAGTAAATGTGTGTGCCTGTGTGGTGTGAGGGCCAGAGATCAATGCCCGTTGTCTCTAGCAGTCTCAATTGTTTTCTCAAGACAGGGTCTCTCACTGAACCTGAAGCTTACCAGTCAGCTAGACTGGAAACAGTAAGCCCCAAGGTACTCTTGTCTCTGCCTCCCAGCGCTGGCTGCCATACCCGTTTTTTTACATGAGTGCTAGGAATCTGAACTCAGGCCCTCATGCTGGGCACCAAGAACTTCACCCACTGAACCACCTCTCCAGCCACCAATAACAATCTTAATGACGGTTCAGATTTTTAAAAACACTTTTAATATATATTATATGTATGTGGGCACATCCATGCTACTGTGCACATGTGGAAGTCAGAGCATACACTGCGGGTTGGTTCTCTCCTTCTACCCTTTCGGTTCTGGTGATAGAACACGGGTCGTCAAACTCGGCTGCAGTTGACTTTACCTGCTGAGCCATCTCCTCAATGGCCCACTTTTATTAAAATTATCACAAATAGTGAGATGGCTCAGTGGGGAAAGGCATCTGTCACTAAGTCAGACAACCCAACTTTGATCTATGGGTCCCATGTGGTAGAAGGAAAGAACCAACACCTGCAATTTGTCCCCTGACTGCCACACAGCGCCATGACTCTCTCATCCACACACACAAATAAAGGAATGTGGTTTTTAAAAAAAAATTGCAATGATCACAAAGATAAACATGTTGATAACAAATTTGTTTAAAATAATAAAAGCACACGTCTCCGACCACAGTGAAGTTACTGGAAATGACAGTCACCTAGTGCAGTTCCAGTGACTCTTAAAGTGCTATCTGCTTTCTTTTAGAGCAATTGAGAGTGAATAGGGACTGACAACACTATGCACAAGACATAGGAAACTGGGATTATGGCGACGGTGCTACTCTGTAAACGATACAACGGCACACAGTGCACACAGAGCACAGGAAATTTTAACTGGACACAGGCTTCTGTGCATCCCAGACAAAGCTTTGGAGGATCTGAAGAGACATCTATAAGAAGACTTCCCTCTTCTAATTTAAACCCGCTGGACATAAAGTGAGATTGAAATATAACTACCAAGAAAGAATACAAATAAAACAAAACCAGCCAACCAACCAACCAACCAAAGGATTACAAAGCATTCTGCATGCCCGATTTTCCAGCCTCAAAGAAGCATCTCCTATTACCTTTTACAATAAAACTTGCCTGAGGCTGAAGAAAGTCTCTAAATTCTGTTAACTCAGTATAGTCAACACTCTAATGGTTTGGTTGCACTTCACTGAGTATCAAGGCTCATCATAAGCTTGCTAAATTAGTGTCTCTCCTTCTTGTGAGCCTTCGCAGTAGGAAAAACTTTGTTCTATTCTTCAAACACCGTGTCACTCAAGACGAGGTATTTGAGCCACCGTTAGGTTCGGCGCTCTGCAACCATCTACTCACATAATTAGCCATCCTAACTTCTTAATAATAACATATATACATCAATCCAATTTTCTATCTAACTAGGAAATGATGAAACAAAATGAGCTTGAAACTATTTTATTCTTCTAGGCAGCCAGCAGGCCTGCAAGGATGGACCACCTGGGCGGGGCTGGGGGCAGGGAGAGGGTGTATAATACTAGCCCGAGCCGGCCCGAAGTACATGTGGGTGGGGGTGGGGGACCGAGACAGACAACAGGAAGCTCGAAGAGTGAGGTGGCCGTGCTTGCTTGCAGGGTGGCTGGACAGTGACGGTGGCGGGCCTCGCCGAAGGCCAGCTCCGGTGCAGAGCGGCAAGAGGGCAGCCGTCTCACCTGCGGCTCGCAGAGCTTGGCGCCATAGGGGGAGGGCGGCTCAGGCAGGCGCTCCGGCCTCTGCTCGAACATCGAGTCCTCAAATTCTCCGCCCAGCACCCAGCATCCGGTCTCCATGGCGCGCGCGTGCAACCGGACCTCGAAAGGAGGCGACACCTAGAGCGACGCCCATCACCCAGCCTCCAAAGCACCAGACGGCAGCCAGGCACCGAGACAAGGTAGTGTCTAGAGAGGCCCCGGCGCGTGGCCCACACGGAAGCGGTGTGTTGTCAGCCGGCGCGTTGCATTCTGGGAGTGGTAGTCTTTCAGCGGCCGCGCAAACGGGATTTCATGGCAGAAATTGTTACCTGATTCTAGGGCTTCCTGAACCTCCCAACAAAGGTTTTGACTTCTCTGTGTCAGGAGCTGGATAGAGTACTTTTTCCCTGAGTACCTCGAAAAGTCAGGGTCGCTGGGGAGCTGGTTAACTTGGTAAGTACCAGTTTTAAGCCACTGAAAGTATTCTCATCCCCATTTTATTTTGCCTTTTATTTCTTCATTTTCTTTCCCAATAATAACTGCGAGAAGAGTACAGTTACTTCTGTTTTATAAAGGAGATAGTGGGCTAGAGGAGGTCCGGTAACTTGTTCAAAAGCCCAGCATCTCTGAAGAAGAGGCCAGAACTATTCACGCATTTATAAAAATTTAAATTTAAAGGCTCGATCAAGACTAGCAAGATTTTGAGACTTTCAAGAAACGTTTTGACTCTAGAAAGCAAAGGTCATGGATCAAACACTGGCTTGTGTTATGCAGCACTAATGTGAAGCTAGTGCTATTTTCCCTCACACTTGCTCCTCTTCCACCAGTTGCTTCCAGGAGTTTTCCTTCAGCACTATTTTCTACTCTATTTTCTATTTTCGACTTGTACAGGGCAACCTAAACCACCTCCTCGGGTTTCAAAATTCATCTGCTTATGACTCACAAAATGTGGAACTTAGCTGTGTATTAAATACCCTCATTGGAAGACTCCACTTAGGGAGCCTCCAGCAGTCTATTTTTAATACCTGGGGGCTTTGTTTTGTTTTCTCATTAGAAATGCAATACTTCTTATTAAGAAAAATTCAGATATTATAGAAAAGTATAAGAAAAGTCCATAATATCACCAAGGAAAAATTATGTCCTAAAAAGGGATATATTTCCCCTAATTCTGGTATGCCCTGTCTTAGAAGGCAAAACAGCATAGTACTGAGGACTGCAAGAGCCACATGTGTCTGGCTTTGTGACCTTGGCTCACTAGCTGTGCAGCCCAGTATGTGAAGTGAGTATTGACTAATATAAAGGACATAAAGCTTGTGAGGTGAGGGGGGTGACGGGAGTGACGTGGGTCTATTCAAAATCTCTCCTCTAGGAGCAGAGTAAGAGGAGAGCAAAGGCGGGCAAGTATCTTTATGAAAGATACTTGATCTCAGAATTTCTTCCCTCCTGCTCTGAGGCTGGCTAGCTCTAGCCTCCTGCCCAACAACTGAGCTAGAGCATTTGCTAAAATGGCAGCAGTTGTTTCAGGGCTGCAGGTGGTAAGTGATAGTTCTTTGCCCTTTCAACTCAAGATTCCAGGGCTCAGAAGTTTCCAACCTTTTGTCAAAAGAACCTCCTTGCTTGCTTTACTCCCACAGTCATGGCATATTTGTCTACAAAAAGAAAGCTATGTTTATTGACTAATAATTGCTTGCCTTTCATTTGGAAATTTGAACCCAGATCTTATATAAGAGCCAGTCCAGGCTTCCACCCAGCTTGAGTCTGCCAGCATTGCCTCCTATGCTAGGATCCCAGTTAAAAGTAAGAATGTAGCTATTAGGACCCTGGGAAGCCTGACAGATAGCAAACTGTAGTTAGAATAGGACTTTAAAAAAAAAATCCCCTATTGCAGTTGAGGAGCCAGGGTCTGGGAATCAGAGTTGCAAAACACAGCCTCACTTAATAAGCCTCAAGACAATAAACCAATAAAGTGAGAGGGCTTTAGACACTGTAACAGTTGAATCTACCCTGGAGCTTAGAAACTGCGGGTGTTAGTGTTTCTCAGCCTGCCTGGTGCTGCAGCCTTTTAATACAGTTCCTCATGTTGTGGCAACCCCCAACCATAACATTATTTTTGTTGCTATTACATAATATAATTTTGCTACTCTTTTTTTTTTAAAGATTTATTTATTTATTATATGTAAGTACACTGTAGCTGTCTTCAGACACCCATATGAGGGCATCAGATCTCATTGTAGATGGTTGTGAGCCACCATGTGGTTGCTGGGATTTGAACTCATGACCTCTAGAAGAGCAGTCAGTGCTCCTAACCGCTGAGCCATCTCACCAGCCCTAATTTTGCTACTCTTATGAACTGTAATGTAAATATTTATGGAGATACAGGTTTGCCAAAGGGGTTGTTACCCTCAACCACAGGTTGAGAACCACTGTGTTAGAGTAAATGGGATTTCTACAGCTAAAAAACTGAGTGGCTGATTTTAAAAAATCTGTTTCTATAGCTCAAGAGCTATAAAAATCTTATTTTTTATTAAGGTTGCTGTTTGAGTTGCCCATCACAAGGCAGTGGCCACCTTTACAGGCAACACTCCTTGCTGCTCTGTTCCCCCACTGTGGCATTCCCACACACTGTAGGCAAGGAGGTTAGACACTGTCTTTTTCAGGCTAAACCTAGCTCCCAGATAGGCCTTGGCCAGAGCAACTTAATCAATGCCTGTTCAATGAATGGGTGATTGTAAAGGACGGCCCCAAGGAAGGCAGGCAGAGTACTTCTCAGGTGGCTCACATGTTGGTGTCCTGCCTGTGATCTGGGGAGGGTAAAGCCAATGTTTCCCTGTGGAAGTGTCTCCCCAGTCTAGGCCATGAGCCTACCCTTCCTGCAACCCATGAGCTTAGATGAACCCTGTTCTCCAGCCAACTCTTCTTAGCAAGCCTACCACAGTCTGCCCTTAGTCTCTCCCTCCTCTTGCAATCCTCCTTGTCCTAACCAAGTACCAACTCACCATTCCTTTATCAGAAAGCCACTCTACCCCCAGTGTCTTTTATCTGTTTGACTGATTCCCAGAATCCTTTGCTGACCTCCTTTCCCCTTAGCCTGGTTTCTATGGCTCTTGTCTAGGTTCACACACCACCATGTGCAGGGCACTTTGCATTTCCAGGGGCTGGGGTTGAGGCTAAATATTTTTTAGGGGAGTCTAATGCTCATTTTGCCAGTCACTCACAGTAGACCATGAGCTCATTTAAACTGGACTAGGTCACTCACCTCTATGTGAGCAGTGTCCAGTATCCAGTCATCCCTGACTCCTGTTGAATGGATTAATCTAAACTAGGCTTGCCACACTGTATTCATGCATGGATTCTCTGCATCATCTGTACCTCTGAGGGCCTGTGGGTGTAGCCCTGTGCTCATGCAGAGAGCATACTAAAGTAGGGAAGACAGAAGATAAACATGGACACCATCAGGTTACTTAGTCACATATCTTGATACTGTGTTGCTGTCAAGTTTTGAAGGTAAGATGTATCCCACAGCTCATGCTCAGCTGTAATGCTCAGTCCTCAGCTTGTCTGGAAGGCTGCAGAGCCTTTAGGAAGTGGGGACTGACTGGAGCAAGTAGTCTACTAAGGCAGGCCTCTGAACAAAGTATCTGTTTTTGGTCCCTGCCCAAGCTCTGCCTCCTGATCTCTCAAGATGTAAAAACCACACTCCAGCCCAAGCTTCAGACATGTCTGCTGTATGGTACCCTTGCTATAACAAACTGAAATCCCTCTGAGACCATGAGCCCAAATAACAAATTACTTCCTTGTTTCTGCCACACTGACCAGAAAGTAACTACGCTGGGATGGACATTACTGGAGTTACCGATCAAAAAATGCCCTCTATGATAAAACCGTCTCTTTTCCTTTCCTGACCCAAGCAGCTTTCCTTTGAGCTCTATAAAGTTGTATAAATATTTTTTCGTTAAAATTTAAAAAAAATACATTTATCGATTTATTTGAGTGAGGAGCAAATGCCACAGGGCACATATGGTAGTAGAAAACAACTTATGTGAGTTAGATCCTTCTTCCACTGCATGGCTCCCAGGAATCAAAGGAGATTACTCGGGTAATCTGGCTTGGTTGCCAATGCCTTAATCCAATGAGCCATCTTGCTGGCCTTTCTGTATGCTTCTTTTGCTAAAAACTGTCCTTTCTACTTCTAGCATGAGTGTTATCCCACTAATTCTCATGAATAATATATCAACATATATTTCTCATATTCTGCAGATTTTTTATAGCTGTTCATTGATACAACTGAAATCTGTGTTTATCTGTTGTAAGAAAAGTCCTGTTGTCAGAATGGAGCATACAGTGGTAAATTAGTTATGATCCCGGAGAGATGGCTCAGCCATTCAGAACACTTACTGTTCTTGTAGAGGACTAGAGTTCATTCCCAGCACCCACATCAGACAGCTCACAGCCACCTGTAACTCTAGCTCCCGGGTGTCTGGTCCTCTTTTCTGGCCTCTTCTGTATTTGCACACAAAGTATGTACACTGACAAACACAAAAATGAAAAGTATCTATATTTTTAAAAGATACTTGCTCTTGTGGAAGTTCTATTTTTAAGGGGAGACAAAGAATATTTAGTCCATTTTCTCAGTGTACAGAGCTACCTCCTAGATTGAGAAAATGCAAAGAAGTCCTCAAATTATTAGGTATGTCTGTTCTAACCTGCCATGGGGCTGCTGAAGGACTTATAAAAATATCCATTTACTTTGTATAACCTGGAATTTTGACTAAAAGGCAGTGGGCATTGTTTGAAAGCACTGCAAAGCAAAACAAAAACAAACAAACAAAAATCCCCAATCTAGTAATCTTCAAAATCTTGAGTCAAAACAAGTCAAAGACAAAGTCAAAATAAAAGCATATCACAAAGGCCTGAGAGGAAAGAATAGGAGAGATTCTTTGAAAATTAAAAAGTTCTTGTGCTTTTCGGAGAATTTAGAAAGCTATGCATATTCTCAGAGCAAGATGTGTATGCAGAAAAGACACAGGAAGATACTTAGCTGTTAGTCTGCATTGTTCCTGGCTTATTCCAAGCCTGGTTGACTGTCAGAATGTTCAACATGCTCAAAGTCTGAGATATTTTTGGCCTTTTATTTCCCTCTTTATTTCCTCTTTTTTTAATTTTAAAATAAATTGTTTATTTTAAACATTATTATATAAAAACACATTGCCAAAAATGTCCCCTTTATGTTTTTTCTTCCCTTTTTTTTTTTTAATCATTAGAAAGCTGGTAGGTCTGATAAACTGGGCAAAGTTGCAACTTACCACATCATCAAACAAAAATGACTTGTTTTTGTACATCAGCAATGGTCAATTCAAAAAATAAAGTAATTCCAAGGCTAGAAAGATGACTTAACAGTTAGAATCCTGTACTGCTCCTGTAGAGGATTCAAGCTGAGTTAGGCTCACAGACTC